GGAATATGAACGATCATGGTGGAACATTCATAATACATTTATCCAGATTTCTACCATGCATCGAAAAATTCCTTGAGTTTTCGGACGATTTACCAGAACAGATTTTTTTCCTTGGTTGCATATACTTAAAATGCCTGTATATGATATTCATATATACTTCGCTATATCTGCTTCTGTCTCTAAAGCAAGCCATTTCTCTCTTAAATCGGGAAACAAGACGTACCTTTCGATTTTACTGAAAGAAAGAGAGAGAAGAGAGAGAGAGAGATCGACGCGTCTCAGCTTGATCCAGCTTTTGCAAGAATGAAGCTATAATCTTTGTATCTATATATGTATTTATTTTTTAAAAAGGTTTATCCCGAGGCGACGAAAGAGCCCCTCCTGCAGCAGCTCTTCGTCTCATGTACCTGTGTTGGGCGGCGCTGTCATAAATTGGATTTGTTTTCATGTTGCTTTTTGTGGCGTGAAGAAGACCTCGCGAAAAGGTCCGTGTTTGGGTGGGGAAGTGGGGAGTGGGAGGGGGGTGGAGAGGGGGAGGGAGGGGGAGGGAGGTAGGGGAGGGGGAGTAAGAGAGGGGAAGGGGGGTAAGGGGAGGGTGTGAGGGTAGGGAGGGGGGGGTAAAGGGTTGAGGGAGAGGGTAAAGGAACAGTGGGGAAAGGGTAGGGATGGGGGGGGAGGGGGTGAAGGTAGGGTGGGACATGGGTTGGGGACGGGAAGCTGTTTTGACTGGCTGTGTTCTTTACATGTTAGTCACGTTAATCGTCGCTGCACTTTTTCTTCCTCATTCACACTTTGACTTTATTTGTGCACAAAATACAGCACGCACATCCTTGTAGGTTTGGTTGTATACGTATGTGTGTTAGTGTGTATATTTGTATATATATATATATATATATATATATATATATATATATATATATATATATATATATATATATATATATAGTGTGTGTGTGTGTGTGTGATAGATAGATAGATAGATAGATAGATAGATAGATAGATAGATAGATAATAGATAGATATATATATAGATATATATATATAATATATACACACATATATGTCTATGTATACACACACACACACACACACACACACACACACACACACACACACGTGCACCCATGCAAGCGCATCCATACAAGCACTTATGCCTTTAGACAAGCAAACATTCACACACGCCTTATCCATTCGTTTCCTAAAAAATTATAATTGAAGGGGTGGGAGGATATGGGGTATAGGGGGGGCTAGAATGCAGTGCAATTTAGCGTCAATAGATGGCAGTGCAGGGGGTCGTCACTGCGTTGTTCGTTGTAACAGGCTCAGGCGGACGGAGCAAATCGCGTGTGAAAGCGACAAGGACGAGCCGGGATAACACGTGAGGCGTTGGGGTAGCGAAAGACAAAATCTGATAAAGATTGGAAATGGGAGAGAATGCGAGGATTGGCATTCCAGAGAGGCGAAGGAAGGAGAAGATGGAATGGAAAGATGTTCACGAAGCACAGAGGGAACGGACCTGGAACGAAATAACAAAAAGAGATTGAGGAGGACGGCCTAGAAGCAAGGAAGAAGAAGGCGCGGTAGACGCCCCACATCTGCAAAACATGTTTCCTTTTTGAGAAATAATCCATTCAAACGGCAGGTCCCAGCGGGGGTCTGGTGCCGTTGAGGACGTTGCCGTTCGATTGAGGGGCGTTGGTGGTTCGATTCCCCCGATTGCATGTTCTTTAGGGCCTGAGCTTCCGTTGCCCGATAAAGGAGCCGTTTCTGAAACCGCAAAAGGGGCAAAAATAACGGGCAGCGATAATCCCAAGTCGGAAGACTCGCGAGGCCTTGTGAGGTTTCTTGGCATCGCGGGCGTGACGTCGGGACACTACTTGGCGCCGCCTTCCTGCTCGCTCGCCACTCTGACGCAGATCCTCTGGTAGTCTACAGTTTGCTGGAGGTCCTTCGGCGCTTTCGACCTGACGATTTCTTGCGGGACACACGACCCTCAGCCGGCGACTTTCCGTGCGTCCTCTCGCCAGGAGCTTGATCTGCCGAGAACCCAGCTGCCCGAGGAACCCCATGCGCCTTCTGCAGGAGCGATAACAAGAAGTGCTCCTTGATCCGTCCTTGTGTTTTTGTCGCTGCCGTTGACTTTGGCGAGCTCCAGCCAAGTCGAAGCCCCGCAGCAGACAAGCGATAAATCTCCCAAGCGATCTGTGATAAAGTGTCCAAACCAACATACAGTTTAGCACTCTCTTTCCCCCTCGCGTAACACAAGCACCGCCTCCTCCTCTTGGTCGCGTCCCATGTGCTCGATCTCTCCTGAGACTCACCGAGACCAAAGGACCCCCGACGCCCCCCGCGCTCCTTCCGCCGAGCTCTTGAAGACCCGTGGTGAGACTCCGCTTTGATGAGGCCCCTGTTCAACTCTCGAGGTCTTCTCAGGTTTCGAGTGCGAGTGCCAAGTCCCATCGCGGAGGAGAGGGAGAGCTATTACTCCAACGCAACCAAGGTGAGTGTATTCCCGACTGCGGCAGGAGGGTGACTTCGGCAGGAGGTTTCGCGGGGTTCATGGGCGGTGAATCAGGTGTTCTGGGGGCGGTTGATCTCCTGAGTTAGTGACTGACGAAGGGGGTTTCTCCGAGTTCGTGAGGGAGGCGTTCAAGGTTATATTATCGGCGCTGATATTTTAATGATATTTACTTAGCACTGTTGGTGATGATGTCGTTGATGCTGGGTTATTATTTTTGTTATCATTCCTGTTATTATTTTTATTGTCATTATTTTTATTATAATTATTTTTTATTATTATTCATTATTGTTAATGTAATAATAATAATTATTATTATTATTATTATTATCATCACCATCATTATTATTATCAATACTATTATTATTATTATAATTATTATTGTTATTATTATTTTTATCGTAATACTATTATTATGATGATGATGATGTTGATGCTGATGATGATGATGATTATTATTATCATCATTATTATTATCATTATTATCATTGTTATCAATGTTATCATTCGTATTATCAACCATCAATACCCACCACCACCATCAAGAGCAACAACAAGAGCACCAAAAACACCTCCTCCACCACCACCACTCCTTCCTCCTCCTCCTTCTCTTCCTCTTCCTCCTCTTCTTGTTCCTCTTCCTCCTCCTCCTCTTTCTCCTCCTCTTCCTCCTCCTTTCCACCACCCACCATCACCACCACTTCCTCTTCCACCACAACCACCGTTACCACCACATGCTGCTAAAATTACAATTATCACAACTACTACTATTAATACTATTTTCATCATACAGTAATAATGATAACGACAATGACATCAATGATACTAGTAAGAACAATGACACTACAACAATGAATAAGAAAAAAAACAGACAGAAAGAACTATATGTACACACACACACACACACACACACACACACCACACACACACACACACACAACACACACACACACACACACACACACACACACACACACACACACCACACACACGCCACACACACAACACACACACGCCACACACACACGCACGTGCACACATTAACACAAAAAGAAAGAAAGAAAGACAAAAAAAAACGAGACGTACTTTTCTGACTTCGTCGACGTAACACCCGACCACGTGCCCGATCACGTGGACCGAAAAGTGCGTGCGGTCGCTGCTTAGGGGTTAAGGATGAATGGGTTGCACCTCCCTTCCTTTGAGGTTCTCTTTAATGGCTTTTTTGTCTTTCTCTTTTTCTATTTTTTTTTCCATTTTTCATTCACTTTCTTTCCGTGTCATTTTTTTTTTCTCTGGTCTTTTTCTATGTCTTTTATTTTCTGATTATTTGTTTTTTTTCTTATTTTTCTTCTTCACTCTCTCCCCCTTCTTTCTTCTTTCTTTCTCTTTCTCCCTCTGCCCCCCCTCTCTCTATTCTTACTCTCTCTCTCTCTCTCTCTCTCTTTCTCTTTCTCTTTCTCTCTTTCTCTTTCTCTTTCTCTTTCTCTCTCTCTCTCTCTCTCCTCTCTCTTCTCTCTCTCTCTCCTCTCTCTTCTCTTCTCTTTCTCTCTTCTCTCTCTCTCTCTCTCCTCTCTCTCTCTCTCTCTCTCTCTCTCTCTCTTCTCTCTCTCTCTCTCTCTCTCTCTCTCTCTCTCTCTCTCTCTCTCTCTCTCTCTCTCTCTCTCTCTCTCTCTCTCTCTCTCTCTCTCTCTCTCTCTCTCTCTCTCTCTCTCTCTCTCTCTCCTCTCTCTCTCTTCTCTCTCTTCTCTCTCTTCTCTCTCTCTCTTCTCTCTTCTCTCTCTCTCTCTCTCTCTCTCTCTCTCTCTCTCTCTCTCTCTCTCTCTCTCTCTCTCTCTCTCTCTCTCTCTCTTTCTCTCTCTCTCTCTCTCTCTCTCTCTCTCTCTCTCTCTCTCTCTCTCTCTCTCTCTCTCTCTTCTCTCTCTCTCTCTCTCTCTCTCTCTCTCTCTCTCTCTCTCTCTCTCTCTCTCTCTCTCTCTCTCTCTCTCTTCTCTCTCTGCTCTCTCTCTCTCTCTCTCTCTCTCTCTCTCTCTCTCTCTCTCTCTCTCTCTCTCTCTCTCTCTCTCTCTTCTCTCTCTCTCTCACTTTCTCTCACACTTTCTCTCCTTTCTCTTCTCCGCTCTCTCCCTCCCTCCTCCCTCTCTTCTCTCTCTCTTCTCTCTCTCTCTCTCTCTCTCTCTCCTCTCTCTCTCTCTCTCTCTCTCTCTCTCTCTCCTCTCTCTCCTCTCCTCTCCCTCCCCCCTCCCTCCTTCCTCCCTCCCCGTTCTCTCTCTCTTCTCGCTCTCTCCGCCTGACCGGGTACTGAAAGAAGACCCGCCTAGAAGGAAGTGAATTATCTCGACCACCGGCCCCTACCCTCTTCCCCTTCCTTCCTCCTCCTCCTCCTCCCTTTCGTTTCTTTTAATTCCTTTTCCTCTTTTTCTTCTTCTTCTTTTTCCTTCCTCTGCCTCCTTCTCCTCCTTTCTTTCCCTCCTTTTGTTTTTTTGTTATCTCTTCTCCACTTCCTTTCTCCTTTGCTATCCACCTTCATCATTGCCTTTTCTTCCAACCTCTCCACTTCTCCCTTCCCCCTACCTTCTATCCACCCTTTCTTCCCCTCCACCTTTTCAACCTCTCCACCCCCCCATTTTCCACTCCACGACCCCCTTTTCCTCCACCTCCTCGTCACTCTCATCGTTCCACCCCACCACGCCTAAATCCCTCCCCCTTCTCCTCCCACTTCCCTCCACCATCCCCCCCTATCCTCCACCCGTCCCTCCCCTCATCCTCCCTCTTCCCTCCCTCCTCCCTCCCATCTCCATCCTCCACCCAATCCCCCCCCCATTTTCTACCCTCCCTCCCCCCCATCCCTCCCCCCTTCTCCACCCCTTTCTACTCCCACTCCCCTCCACCATCCCACCCCTATCCTCCACCCGTCCCCCCCCCATCCTTCACCCGTCCTTCCCCCCATCCCCCACCATCCCCCACCATCCCCTCCTCACTGCGACGGCTTCGTGGATGAACAAGCGCCATCTATTGACAGAATTGCGCGCCTCACTTGGCACGGGGGAAAAAGATTATCAGATCGTGACGGGGCGGGGAGCAGGAGAGAGAGAGAGTGATGTAAATTGTAAATGACAATAATTGCGATAACGGTAGGAATTAGTTTCGCGAGAATAACTGTTAATGAGGGTCATTTAGAGGAGAAAGGACTGTGATAGGGATGATTGTGATAAAGATTGGGGAAACGAGACTAATTCTTATGATGGTGATTAGCATAGTGGAGAATCAAAATTAGTGATTGCGGGCAATGATTGTAATACGATGCTAATTACGAAAATCTAATAATGAGGGAGAATACGAGGAGTTTGATAAATGTAATTAGAATGATAGGAATTTTTACTATGATTAAAACAATAATTAAATTTACTATGATTATTACATTTACTATACTTATTATTATTTATTATATTTATTATTATTTACCTAATAATTTATATTACTTTACCCTATAATTATTATTACCAATTATACATTATTTACTTATTTTACTATAGATTATTTACTATAACACAATTTTTCACCTATGATCCCTTTCAACCAGTACATAATAGTAGCATTATCGTTTTCTGCGCTTCATAGTGATGATTTTAATGATTCCTGATTGCATTTTTTCGTACCGATGATAATGACATAGCCAATCGTCTGGTAATGATAATCTTGCACGTCCACTCGAATCGCAAAATGTATTAACCTATAATCGTTAGCATGGCGCAAGATGGTGATGTGGACATTGCAACAACAATAAAAAATGCGTTTGACTAGCGGTAGGAGTGCGACAATAACTACATGGTTCAGCCATGCCATGATTAAGATCTAATAAGTGTTTAAATCATCATTCTGGAGAATTGCATAGTGACAAAAGTACTAATGACAAGGGGCCATTGCATCAAGATTAACCAGAGGAAAATAATGGAAGATTCAATTCTATGAGTCAACATTCATCCGAACACGAGCACGCTTCAATATGCCTACGCCTGCCCAATTCTCACGACACCCTCATTCGCCTTCTCACTACAATTCCGAGAGACCTCATCGGCAAACAAGATCTCCACCTACCCCAGCCATCGCTGCCCGTCCGCTACATTAAACACTTCACCAGACCAAGGCGGCGCCCGCACATCTCGTGTGTCGCCTATCTCCATCTACCCTAGCGACCACTACGAACTTTCAGTGCGGAGAACCCGGCACAGACCGACGATCCACCACGCTATCAGGAAACTGACTTGAGCGTCGTTAACGCACATATGTGTATAATGTGGTCGATAATGGAATATATATATAATATATATAGATAGTATATTATACTATATTATACTCGACACACTCCACACGTCTACCTCCAGGCGTCATGGTATATATATTATATTTACTTCTCTTCTCTTCTTCTACTCTCGCTCGCTCTCTTTCTCCCTTCTCCTTCTCCCAATCTACTCCTCTTTCGTCCCTCTTCTCCCCCCCCCTCTTGCCTTCCTCCAAGTCCTCCTCTCTCTCTCTCATTTTCAATTCAAACAAATATCAGCAACAGTGAGATGAGGATTTTAATTAGGCGTTCGCTTACTAATAGAGTCTTTACCGGGGACTGAAAAATACACAAGTTCGTTTAACTCTTCTCCTCCTCCTATCCGCTTCTTCCTTCTTCTTTGTCTTATATATATATTATTAATTATTCTATTATATATTCCTCTTCTTCCTTTCCTCCTCCTCCCTTCCTACTTCTTTCTCCTCTCCTACCAATCTCCCGACATCATTCCTTCCCTCCATTTCCCCTCACCACCCTTCCTCCTTTCCACTACCCTCCTTCCTCCTACTCTTGGTATCTTCTGTTCTGCCTCTTCACAATACCTTCCCTCTTCTATTCTGCTCTTCTTCTCATCCTTCCTCCTCCTCCAGCCATCCACAAGACTCCTCGTACTTCCTTCCAGATCTCCTCCGTCTCCAAGTCC